AAATATCATAAAAAATGTAATAAAATAGAATATGTTAAATATGACTTTTGTATAAATATCAGCATTTTATGCTCGTTTTAAGGCACAATTATGAACAGGTTTTATTTAGGGAGTTTTCTTTTAAGAGAACTAAAGTTTTTACTAAAATAAACTTTTCTGAAATCAATCATTTTTGCTGCAAAAATTCCATCAGATTTATCTGACATTAAAATCCTGTTAAATAGGAGAATTTTGTTATATTTGCCTAAAAAAAGGACATTTCACACTTGTTTTAAGGCACAAATATGATAAAAAAGAGCAGAAAAGAGGTTTTCTGTGTTAATCTGAAACTAAAGATCCACTCAAGAAAAATAAAAAAACACTTTATTTTTCAGCTAAAATAAGCAATAAATATACAACGCTACAAATATGTTCATTTAGTGGTTAATGTAAACAGGAGTCACATCTGAAACGTATTTTAATGTTATAAAACCCCAAACCTTAAATAAATTCTTGTTTCTTTTTTAAATCGCATCAATTTTAAAGAGTTTTAAAAATTCACTGGAAACGACCGAGTCCACATCAAGTCAAGTTAGACGCCATTATTTGTTGTTTTTCTGCTCAGGAACAAGAAGAACGAAGCCATTTGCCCCCAACGCCCATCGTAGAGGACGGCGCTGCCATGGGAACACAACGTTACAAAAGTGGTACCTGTGTTTTAATCACCGCCGGCCTCACTGGAACACTTCCTTCCCCCTCCTGTCGAGAGCGGATTGTGCAGCTCATAATGAGGCTGGCAATCAGAAATCAAATAAAAAAATCAAATAAAAAGAACTCAGAAAATCAACGCCGTCGGCGCAGAGAGGAATCAACAATGTTTCAGAGCCGACGGTCCAATCTGCGTTATTTGACCTGGAGGGACCGAGGAGTCCATTTCTAATAAACCCTCAGAACTCTGAGGAGGACTCTGGCTGAGATAATAACATGTTGTGTTACGTCAGAGGCTTCCTTCAACCCAGAACCTTCCAGAAGCACAGAAGTCACCAGGAAACAAGTGTTTGGTTCCCAGGCCCTGGTGTGAGCGGGTCCTCAGCCTCCGAGTGAACACAAACTGTTAAAGCAGCACTGAGCTGTCCAACAGCCCAGTCTTTCCTGTGGAAAGTGAGTCAGTTTGTTTTGTTGTTGTTGTTGTTTTTGGGGGTTAATGTTCCCTTACTGCTCCTTGCTCTCGCAGGCTGAGGTGTGCTGCTGGTTGGAGGCGTGGCCAGGTTTCCATAGCAGCGGCGCGCTGAAGATGGCGATGACGCCCAGGTTGAGGGCGAGGCTGACCGCCAGCGCCCCGATGGTCCCGAGGAAGGACGGCATCACGCTGTGGGTCTGGAGCCAGGCCCGCCGCGTCGTCATGTCGGCGATGACGCCCTCCATCTGGAAGTGTGTGCCCACCACGGCGCAGACGTGGAACAGCTGATGGCTGTGGCCTTCAGGAAGAACAAAAGAGGTTTGTGGGTCAGGAAGAGAACCTGGTCATCCAAGTCAAACTGTGTGGTTCAGTAAGAGGGCCAAAGTTTTTCATTTATAGCTAGCTTCTCCAATGCTAACACCAGCTTATCCATGCTATTCGCTAGCCTCTCCAATGCTAACACCAGCTTATCCATGCTATTCGCTAGCCTCTCCAATGCCAACACCAGCTTATCCATGTTATTTGCTAGCCTTTCCAATGCTAACACCAGCTTATCCATGCTAGTCGCTAGCCTCTCCAATGCTAACACCAGCTTATCCATGCTAGTCGCTAGCCTCTCCAATGCTAACACCAGCTTATCCATGCTAGTCGCTAGCCTCTCCAGTGCTAACACTAGCTTA